AAGCAGGAATGACATGGGAACCAATGCCAGCTAATTAACGAGCTCCTCCTACCCCTGTCTGTCCCCAGACAGCTCCCAAGGCCTTCCCACACGCAGCCCAGTGAGAGCAGACATGCTAAGCAGTCTCTTGACACTGACCATTACTTCACTCTTGTGCGGGGTAGATTGCATAGGATAGAAATGAGGCCCAAGCTGGTCAAATATATAACAGGCAAGAAGTTTTCTTGGAAGTAATAAAGGAAGACTTTTTTGTGAAGCCAACAAAAGAAGTGCCATCGAGGTGAGTACCACCTTCACCCCACAGAAGAATCCAGATGACAGCAAATAACCAGACACAGTGTCAGACATACATGTTCATTTACGTTCATGGAACTTTTCCTTAGCATCATGAAAACTGAGCAGAGTAATCATGACTTAGATGCATAGACTTTGGTTTCAGGAACAGTTTTTTCACTTGACATTTTATCTTCTGGCTATATGTAATGAAGGAATTCTGTTTTTAAAATATTCTTCAGAAAACACCATAATAAAGCTTTGGTCTGATATAATTCTAACATTTCTTCTCCACTATAGCCATCTTGCAAAGTAAGAGCTTTTAAGTGCTTTGGATAAAACAACTAAGAATAATAGAGCAAGGGAATGTCTGTCTCATTTCTTCTGCTTCTTGTCATTCTTAAAAGGAGGCTATTTTTTAGGGGAGGGTGGAGGGAGTGAAGGGAGGGCAGGGGTAAAGGGAAAAAATGTGAACCAGGATCTGTCATTTAAGGGTACAACATCCCAATGATGAGTGTAACTGTACCGTATACTTAAAAAGTACCAATAAACTCAATAATATTTTTTCTTTTATTGAGTTTATTGGTACATTTTAGGCATACGGTACAATTACATTCATTATTGGGATCTTGTACCTTTACATGGCAGGTCTTGGTTCGCATTTTTTCCCCTTGTCCATGCCCTCCCTTCACCCCCTCCTCCCCTCCCTATTTACAAACACTTTATTTCCATTTTTTCCTTTTCTCGTGTTTTTTAATTTTCCCTTAGTACCTTTCCCCCACCCCTCCCATTTTCCCTACACCTTCAGCCCCTTTCTCCCTATTTCACATGGTCAACTACCTCATGAGGATCGTATGTACTATGATAGCTTTTCACACCAGAGACACTATTCTGTATTTACACATGTGTGACTTATTTCATTCAGGAGTATAACCTCAATAGGTATCCATTTAATAATATTTTTAAAAGGAGGCTATTTTCTGTTCTTGTAGGAAACATTGTTACCAAAATCTAAGACCAAAGTACTTTCTCATCAAGCCTTGAAGATTTATAGTAGTCTATACTAATTATTTGATTCATTCATTCATTTTAAAGAGGAACTAATTATTAAAAAAAATAATGCAGTACTGGTTTAGGTTATAATAATTTTTATCACCATAGAATGATCAGTGCAAAGAATGTCTTACTAATATCAAGGACTACATAAATGGATTCTTAAAGCTGTTTAGGGATTATCAAATCTAATAATTATGCTGAAGATCTTCCAAGAAATCGTGATCCAGATTCTAAAAATATTTCCATTAATTCTTTCCATCAGACCACAATCTGTAAAATATGGCTTTCTTTCTTCAACAATAACTTCTTACTCAGTTACTCAGTGGCAAAGACCAGAAGTTCAATGGCAAACAAACTTTCATACAGCTTCCATTAAACATGGAAGACAGATAACCAAACAAGGATAATGAGGTCTGCAGGTAAGTGCTAAAATGGGGTACAACTGAATCACACATGAAAGAGGTAAATTACCCAGAAATGAAAGGTCAGAGAAGGCCCCCCATGAGTTGATTATATGAAAGACTTGAAGTATAAAGACCTACATATAATAGGATCTGATACAGCAACACAGGTTTGATCCAGCATGCATCACCCATAGATTAGAGGAGAGAAGCACTATACTGATGGAGCAATAACATGATATACACAATAAGACAGGTCCTTGCCTTGTCCTCGCCTTGCCTCCATGGTTTTTTTCCATAAAATATTTCATTTCAGAAATGTAACAGTTTGTGCTCCAATGCTCCTGCCCAATGTATCAAAATGTTTTGTAACTGATTGAATTGTGTGACTTTTCAATGTTCTGTTACCTCTGCCCCTTACAGGAATGTCCTTTAGCTCCTCCCCCTTCTTCAGTGCGCATGCTCACCTACCCTGAGGCTCCCATCTCTGATGAAGTGCTCCGATTTCGAGGTATGAACTCCTCTGAGCCTGCCAGCTCTGAGACCACCAGCACAACATGCCTCTTCAAATGACCTTCAGATTCTCAAGTCTTAAAATCGCAATAGCTGCAACCCAGAACTGTGACACTTAGCTATAACATTCAGCTGTGCCTCACAGCTGTGGCACGTGGCTGCAGCACTGAGCTGCTCTGCTTTGCCACAATACCAGTGACAAAGTCATGTCACATAGGGCCTTCTAAGTTACATTTTAGACTGCAAAGTTCTATGGAGATCCATAGGCAGCCATGGGCACAACATAAGCTAGTAAATCAGACTTGCATTTAAGAAAATTCACCCTGGTGATTTTTATGACAAGGGGATCAGAGGGGAACAAGTACAGAGACAAAAGTCTAGTGAGACTAGGAAAGGGAGAAGTATGGCTATAAGGATGGAAAAATATTTAAGATATAGAAGCAGAACTTGGTGAACTTTTGGCTCTATATTCAGCTTTAATTTTGAAGATTCTACTGTTTCCTTTAAAAGAAAGAAAAGAATGCTACTAGGTAGCAAAGAACTCATCTTAACAAAAAAATGTTAGTATTAAATATTATAAAATTTCTGATACTTAGAATTTAGTTTAAAATTCTGAGCCCCATTTACTACACCAACTTCAATCACCATCATGCTAGGAGCATCAAATGCACCTTTAGAATGTTGTGAGAAGGTAACATACTGCTCGGCACATATAGCTCAGTAAATGTTAGTTCCGTGTCAGTGAAGCATGATCCAAGATGTGACTGGGTTCCATGTGTTAAGTATACTGAAACTACCTAGCACAAAAACAGGTCTCCGGTGCTACCTGGTATTAAGGCAACAAATGACAGCAGAAAAATTGAACTGATTTTCTGAATGGAACGATAAAGTAGGCTAATGGAAAAGCAGCTGGAATAAATGCCTAAGAGAGATATGAAGCAGTCCCACCCAGACGCTAACGGCTCTGAGAGACAAGTAACAGGTGAACAGACACGAAAGGGGAGCTGACTGGGTCTCAGGGTGGATGGCTCGTGAAATAATGATCTATAAATAGTCAGTTTCCACTAACGAACAGAATTTATTTGCGCCCAGGACGTATGGAAGCAGATTACATGTTGCAGCAAAATGGCTCTAGATTGGGGATGATACAGGACATGCTAGTTCTTTGACGATAAGGTCTGTGATCTTTGTTGTAAAACCTAAATTACAGCTTTTTTAAGATGTGGAGATTTTACCTTATCTAAATTCAATTAAGTCTCCAGTTCCTATCTTGATACAGGATGGAAGTAGGGTAGAAATTAAATGAGAATTTCAGTGGATGAATGAATTCACTAAAGTGCTTACATGCTCTCTTATTACCTAATTTCCATTTCTTCTAAAACACATAAGATGAACTTCTTCCAATTTGAATATCAGATTCTATCAGTGGAAAATGTGAAACAAGGCAAGTGTTAAATATTAGGATCTGATCATCCTAATACTTCCTTTCATTTCTGCTTATAAGTAATTGTATTTTTTTCCTTTAAAATTTTTTCAGGAACTTCGGTCACTCTGAACATCAGCCTTCCTGACCATTTCTACAGATCTGTGATATCCATTTGCTTTAGCAATGACCACCAGACCTTCTTTTATTACCCTGGACTTTACAAAACTTTTACAAAAGCTCCTAGTAAAAGTCTCTTACTTCAGCCTCATTTATTCTTCTTGCTCTTATTCTTCATTATAATGACCCACATTCTATTATCAAAATATCCGCAGCCGTTAATGTCTAAAGGATCACTCCTTTCTTTTCTCCACAATTTAGATGACAAATTTCTAAGAATATACGACTGACTATAATTTGTTTTTATTTTTGGTTTTCTGCATTCTTGACTCCCAACATTTCCACTACTTTTCATCGCTAACAAGCTTTTCTTCTTTATTCAGAATTATCACAAATATTTAAAGTGCATTCATTGTATTCATGGGATAGGAAATTGTAAGCAAACCACTCAGGAAATTTATCAACTGCTTTTTAGTAAGGTGTCCAGTCCAGAAGCTGTCCAGTTAACTCCACTCCTTAATCACTATTACCAAAACCTGCCTTGTCAGGCATTGACTAATTTGTACAGAAACCATTGTCCACCTTCCCAGTTTGGCAGGAAGTCTGTACTCTCTTCTGATATGTCACTTCTGGCTCTGCTCTCAGCTTTCAGCTTTACTCCCAAACTGTCCTGTACCTCCCTCCATCATAAAGTCATTAGATTTTCCAAAAGATGCACACTTCACAGTCCCATGCCACATCCCTTTCGATTAGAAATTCCATGCTAAAATAAACCTATGAAATTTTCCTTGCATCAGTTTCTCACCTGTGTTGAGCAGATAATACACTTGCTCACTTTCCGTAACTATCTTAAGCAGGTAGCCAAAAAATTGTCTTTTTTTACATCCCACAATTTCAATAGAATTATTTAAACATAGTTTTTAAAATAATGGTTGCCAGAGAGATTGTCCTAATACCATAGTTTGCATTTCCTTAAAAGATAGAGATAATTGTGTCCAGCACATGACTGCACTTCTTGATCTTGAATGGTGAGAATTCTTAAATGCTTAGTGACTATATGGCCTTGGAACATAATAGTATCGTTTGATTCCACTGTAGCTAATGAAATGGAGGACAATAAACAGAGACCCAAACTTAAAATAACTTGTCTACTATTTCACTTATTCATCCATTTCACTTTATGTAAAGCCCAGGGTGTTCCAAAGGATACTTACAAGAGCACAGCCATCAGTAGCCATGTATGACATCTGACTGGTAGAAACAAAAGCTGGAAAAAAAAAAGATATTTTCAGGTAAGGGTGGGTTTAAAATGTTCATGGACTCATGTGTCTCTTCAAGTAGAGGGAGATTGTTTCAATTGAAATTGATAAATTTTATAATACAGGCAATTTATTAAATGGCTTCTTATTGCAGAACTCAATAAGCCACCTGTCTAAAGTTGAGTTCCTACAATAACACAGTTTCATTTGAACATTTGTCAGTAGTCTTTCAAGTCCACAAATAAGACAAGCATATGATTTATACACTTAAAGTTGCATTATCTTTTGAAATGTGAGAATACTTTCCTCTTCATAATACACATTGTAGAAGATTTGGAAGTATGTAGTCACTGCTATTAACAAATTTCAAAGGCATAATTAACTCCTGCCTCAGAAGTCTCAACTGTAATACCAAGATGGGAGTTAGTTTTAATGTATTGCACTTTTCAGTGGATTACCTGTCAAACAAGACACTATAATTTCAAGACAGGAAAGGGGGGGGACTCATATTTTCAGATTTTGACAAGCAAGAAAATAACTAAAGATCCACAAGCCACTGAAACTCTCCCAGTCACAAAGAACTTTTTAACTTCTTCCCATAAACACCACAAGTGCAGATTCATGTTCCATTTGACTTATTACACAAGTAGCCCCTGGCTTTTTTTTTTTTTTGCATTGAGCTTATTGGTGCATTTTAGGTATAAGTATGGTTACATTCATCATTGGGAACTTGTTCCTTTTACATGACAGATCTTGGTTCTCACTTTTCCCCTTATCCCTGCACACCATTCACCCCCTCCACCCTTCCCTATTTACAAAAACTTTGTTTCCATTATTTCATTTTCTCATATTTTTTCCTATTTCCTTTCCCCTAGCCTTCCCACTTCCCCTACACCTTTAGCTCTTTTCTTCCTATTTCACATTGTCAATTTTACCATTTGGATCTTATTTACACTTTTAGTTTTTTACACCAGAAACACTATTTGGTATTTACACATGTGTCTTATTTATTTCACTTGAGTATGGCCTCAATATGCATCCATTTTCCTATGAATGACTCTAGTTTCTCATTTTATGGCTGAATAGTACTCCATTTTATAGAAAAACCATATCTTCTTTATCCAATCTCCAACTGATGGGCAACTGAGCTGTTTCCAAGTTTAGCTATTACAAACTGTGCTGCTGTAAACATCGGGGCACATATATCACTAGGGTATGTTTTTTAATTCTTTTGGAAAGATACCCAGCAGAGGGCTGGGATTTCTCTCAGTGGTTCGGGTGACTGTCTTGCAAATACAAGGACATGAGTTTGATCCCCAGTACAAAAAAAAAAGATACCCAGTAAAGAGATAGCTGGGTTGAATGGAACCTCTAGTCCTACTTCTTTGAGGTATCTCCATACTGATTTCCATAGTGGTTGCACCAATTTGAACTCCCACCAACAATGGAGAAGGGTTCCTTTCTCCCCACAACCCTGCCAACATTTGTTATTGTGTGATTTCTTGATAGCAGCCATTCTTTGTGGGGTGAGGTGAAATCTCGGAGTTGTTTTTATCTGCATCCCTCAGATGAAAAATAATGTAGAACATTTTTTCATATATTTATTTACTACTTTTACTTCTTTGTCTGAGAAATGTTTGCTCATTTCAGATGCCCATTTTTGAATAGGGTCTTTATATTTGGGGGAAGGGCTGGTTGTTTTGAGTTCTTTATATATTCTAGATAATAGTCCTTTGTCTGAGGAGCAGCTGGTAAAAATTTTTTCACACTTTGTAAGTAGTCTCTTAGCTCTTTTGGTGGTTTCTTTTGCAGAGCAGAAGCTTTTTAATAATATGAGATCGCGGGGGTTTTTTTTTTCAGCTGCCTGCCTGCCTGCCTGCCTGCGATCACCGGCGGCGTGCGCGCGATTTGAGTTCTATATATTCTAGATAATAGTCCTTTGTCTGAGGAGCAGCTGGTAAAAATTTTTTCACACTTTGTAAGTAGTCTCTTAGCTCTTTTGGTGGTTTCTTTTGCAGAGCAGAAGCTTTTTAATAATATGAGATCGCGGGGGTTTTTTTTTTCAGCTGCCTGCCTGCCTGCCTGCCTGCGATCACCGGCGGCGTGCGCGCGAGCTCCCGGCCTATGCGACAACAGACCCAGGAAGGAAGGTAGCCTTGAAACACCCACACGACCCCCCCCCGTTCTCAAAACTCCTGATCGGGCCAGTCCTTAGACCAACTCTGCAGAGGCATAGGTTCCCATGAAGGGTAGTTTTCTGAGCTCCAAACTTTGAACATCTTTAAAGAAAGGGCAGGGGAAACCTGTAATAGAAAGGAGTGGAGTTCAACCCTGAGGGTAAGGAAACTAAAGTTAGGCCTTGTAGACTGTGTTCAGTCTCAGTCGTGAGGAACAGCCATTGGCTAGCTAAGACCAGGGGATTGGGTTCCGCATATGACTGTGCATGTGGTATAATATGAGATCAGAGATAGCCTGAAAGAGGACCTTCAAATTCTTTTTCTTTCCCTCTCTCTTGTCTCTTTTTTCCTCTTTCCACCCTAAAATTTCTTTCTTTTTTCTGTCCTGTCTCTCCAACTCAGTCTCTTGCTCCACCATAGTGTCCCTCATCTCCCTTTTTATTCCAGTTCCTGAAGAACTCAGACTTCTTTTTTTATTTTTTGTTTTTAGGACGGGTTTCTCTTTATGTTCTTTTCTCCAGTCATTTTACCTCACTCATGGCTCTGTACCTTCAAGGGAAGGCAAGCGCCTGTTACTGTTAAGGGGATATATTCCTGTCCTTATTCCTGCACTCTCTCTATCCCCCCTGAACTTAATAGCTTTGTAAAGATAGTAAGGTAATTCTACAACCTCTGGATTCACTTCAAACCTGCTCTAATTCTTTCACTTATCTAATCCTCTTGTTCTAAGTCGAACCCCCCATCCTAAATGGTAAAGATGCCATATTGAAAAGAATATTCACTGCAAACATACTATGAGCTGCTTCTTGAAATTAATCTAATTCACATGAGTTAAAGGTGATACATTAATGACTACCATAAGTGGTCAGTTGGCAAGCTGTGCCTGATCCTATTGGGCTGCTGAATGTATCAATTGGGACAAAGAGTGGTGATTGATTTAAAGAGTTGTTTTCTCTGATATTATGAAAACGAGAATGTCTATGAGTCATTAGAAACTCAAAAGCTAAAACGCAACTATATTAGGAAGATTTAAGTAATACCCAGAAATTAAAGAAGGACAACCCAACAATAAAAATAAAAATGAGAAAACACTTAAGCAAGACACAAAAACAAATATCCAGTTCACCAATAGCAAATAGTAGGACAAATGAGGATGAAAAGTCTGATAGTGAACCAACAGGACTCCCTGGACCCATAGCACAGGAGGTAACAAAATTGATCAATCAGGCTCTAGAAAAATTCAAATCAGAAATAATTTCCCAGCTAGCCAGAGAGATGATGAGCAAAATAGAAGTCATGATTCGAGACTCTAGAGCAGAAACTGAGAAAAAAATAGATGAGCTCAAGACTGTGATAGAAGCCATGAAGACTCAGCATAAGAAAGACATGGAAACAATGAATGCCCAACAGAGGAAAGAAATGGAATCCATAAAACAGATTCAAACAGATATCCAGGAGATTAAAAACTCTATTGAAAGTGTACGAAACAGAATAAAAGATTGCGAAGATAGAATTTCAGATATAGAAGATAGGATAGCAGTCAGTGACCGTGAAAAAAGAGGTCTATTAAAAACAGTAAGGGATCATGAGAAATCAATCCAACAACTCCTAGACGATACAAAGAAAAATAACATAAGACTGATAGGAATTCATGAAAAAACAGGAGAAAACACAAATGATATAAAAAAGCTCTTCACAGAATTAATGACAGAAAACTTCCCAAACAGAAGGGAAGAATTAGACATACAGATAAGTGAGGCATATAGAACCCCAACTAGCCACGATCAAAAAAAATCTACACCTAGACATATAATAATCAAGATTCCAGAAATCCAACAGAAAAACAAAATACTACAAGCAGTAAGAGAAAAGAAACAAATCACATGCAAAGGGAAGCCCATTAGAATCACAGCAGACTTTTCAACACAAACCCTTAGGTCAAGGAGAGCCTGGAGTGAGGTATTCCAAGTCCTAAAAGAAAAGAATCTCCAACCTAGACTTTTGTATCCTGCAAAACTCTCTTTCAAAATAGATGGGGAAATAAAATACTTCCACGACAAAGAGCACCTGAGAAATTTCATGAACACCAAACCAGCACTGCAAGGAATTCTAAACAATATCCTAGAAAAGGACAACGAAATTCACAATAACATGAGGCCCAACAGACCAAATCAAATAGGCAAGGCAAGAAACTAAAAGGAGATGGGAGAAAAAGTAAAAAGAGTCAACAAATGGACAAAAACATGACAAGAATAAGTCAAAATATATCAGTTGTAACCATCAATGTTAATGGCCTCAATTCACCAATCAAGAGAAACAGATTGGCAGAATGGATTAAGAAGCAAAATCCAACAATATGTTGTATACAAGAAACACACCTAGTGCAAAAGGAAGTCCATAGACTGAAAGTGAAAGGATGGAAAACAATTCTCCATGCGTCAGGAGTCCAGAAAAAAGCAGGGGTAGCAATCTTATTCTCAGATAAAGTAAATTTCAAACCAAAACTCATTAAGAGAGACAAAGAAGGACACTACATCCTTGTAAAGGGAACAATTCAAGAGGAAGAGCTGACAATCATAAACATATATGCACCAAATATAAATGCCCCCAACTATATAAAACAAATATTAAGTAACATGAAAAACCAAATAAGCACTAATACAATTGTAGTGGGGGATTTAAATACCCCACTATCACAAATTGACAGATCTACTAGGCAGAAAATCAACAATGAAATAATAGAACTGAACCAAGCTTTGGAACACATGGACTTAATAGATGTTTATAGAGTATTCCACCCCCAAAAACCAGAATATACATTCTTTTCGGCT